ATTGTTTGTCTTTGTCATCGCAATCGCAATAAACGAAAATTACGTAAAACAAAAAATCTACGGCCACGTCATTGCCTATTTTCAAAAAAAAACTCTTCCACCACGTCAGACTACTCATCACTCCGCAACCATCCCTTTCTCTAGAAATGCGCGTGTAGATCACTACAACTAAATACCTGTCTTTATAGCCGGCTTAACTCTTGGAACCCTCCACCTATTTGTCTTTATTAGCTCTTTAATATGTATTTTATTTGTTTTAATCAATGAACTTTGTATTATTATAATAATTAACTCAATTTCATTGCATAAGTGTCTTTATTTTATTATTTTATTTTTTTTAATGCTATTCTAACATAAATTTAATATATTTAGACTTAGAGATTATACTTATAAAAATAAAAAAATCTTATCTAAAACGCACATCAATCTTATTTTAAGTAAAAATTTTCTTAACATTTATAAATTCAAGTGAATTATTTTTATACCAATATGATACTAACAAGAATAAGGTAATGGAGTAAAGACAGCAATGGGAGAGCCACGTATAAATTGAGAGGGGCATGGCCTCTCAGCCTTTTGAAACATTTTTAATTAGCACCCTACACTTTTAAAAAATAAAACTAGTGCCTTAAGTTTTTAAATATTAAATAAGAATTTATTAATTATTTGAGAAATTATTAGATTATATGTATTAATTTTTTTTTAATTTCATTTAAATGTGACTCTAATGGGTAGCATACTATCTCTGAATTTTTTTTAATTACCTTATATTTTATGTAATGATATTTAATAAAAAGATAAAATTTTCTTTATTTTGCACATGTGTTTGATTATAGATGAATGGTAAGTTTGCTTCTTAGTGTACAAAACAACTACTTACTCATAAATAATGTAGTTTTTAATTTTTAATATCATTGATTGTTATCATAATGATTACTAACTACTAGTTATTAAAGATTTGTGTCATTTGAATTGTTTTCAACTAAGGTTTACACAATTACATTATATAAATAATTAAAATTCGGTTTCGGTACAAAGGTTATAATTAATTTCACTTAAAATAATCCAAAAGCATGAGGTTGGCGAATTCCTCCAATCACATCTTCACCATGCAATGACTAGAATTTGATATGTTAATTTTTTAAACATAGTTTGACCGAGTTAGTTTGACTAAGTTGGTACTCAATACCATTGGCGTAGAAATGTTTTTTTTTTTAATGTATTAAAAAATTTCATTAAAACATCTTAGTTTTATTAATTGAGGTATATTAATATTTTGTAATAATGATTTTGTTTGAAATTGAAATTTAGATAGGGGCTAGTAATGGCATAAATTTAAGTAATTTCTATGTACTTAAGGCCTAATATTTTAGTTTTTATAGATGAAAGTTTTATTTTTACATGTCGTAATTCTAGAAAAATCTATTTTTTTCAGAGCAGCATTGAATTTGGAATTAAAGTGGGTGGTCCTTGGTGAGCGCATGCTTATCGTGACCATTAATTTTGTTAGGTTATTAAAATTATTAAAATTTTATTTTAATTTAATAATTAATAAAATAATTAATATTTATTATTTAATAAATTAAAATTAATTTATAAATAAATATTTATTATAATTAATTATTTAAAAAATTATAAATTAGTAAAATTACACATAAAGTTAATAATCTTATCAAAATAAATGCTGCCATATACTCAGCCTTTGGGAGGGCGTGTCATTGAAATGGTGAAAAAATGAAGAGAGGTTGGCTTTGTTTTTGGTCATCAACAGTCCCTTTTACATGGTCAGAGAAAAGGAAAATACGCGATTTTAATGCTTCAGGATCAGCCATTGAACTTTTGGTTTTTATATGTTTTTATTATTTTAAAAATATATAAAATGTAATTAAAATAATTATTAAATATATTAAATATTGTTTCTCCAAAAATCCTCTTTTAAAATTTCGTTTAGGCCCTCAAATTATAATCTAGTGTAACTCAAATCTAACTTGTTGATTTTTTTTAATAATTGGGTTTTACCTTGACACATAATCTTATCTTATTGATTTATTTTTAAGTGTAAACAAATATATTTTATAGAATTTTAAAATATTAAAAAACAAAAAAATCTATAATTATAATTACACGCCAGCGTCATCAAACTAAACTTTAAGTCTAAACAAACTACCATCCTAAGCATATTAGAAGTTTATGTGATATTTTCACGAATATTTGTAAAACTTTTAATATGACCGAAGTACCATGAAAATTGTATAGAAAATATTATGATGTATGATGTTAGGCAAACAAGAATTGAGATTGGACCACGAGGTCTGGTGATTTTTTAGCCCGTGATTCTCTTCATAGTACATAATACGAACCATGTAGCATGAGATATGATCTCGAAGAATCACGGTAAGTTGCAAAGATGTTGACAGAAATTAGTCAATTACCATTGATGGCTCATCCTGGAGGATTCCTCCACTGCCTTTTCCTGTATGGATTGTAATAAATGGGCAGATGAAGTTGCTTAGAATCCTGAATTGATGTTCTTGCATGTTGCTTTTTAATGGGCATCTTCTTAGTCAGCCGATGAATAGAATAATAGTAGCACTTACTCAAATTCTCTATTTTCTGCTTCTTTCCATGAAGCATTTAAACTCATGAACAGTGTTTTCTAGTTCAGAGATAATAGTTTTAATGCAAGTCTGGGCATGAAAGGTTAAAAATGCGCTCAATTAGTCCATTTCTTGCTCAGATAAGCATTTAACTTGGTCATTTTAGACTGAAATTTCAGACTCTGTTTAACCCATGCCAATTTTTATTTTTATTATGTAAATTAACACTGAAAAGTTGAAAACCTGTTTTTATAGCATTTAAAAAACCTATTATTACTAAAGCGCATGCCTAAAAAGCACTGCACCCTAAACGTCTTTGCCACTTCACAGAGATTTCAGCTGTTGACGAAGGTAAAACAAGTGATACAATACAGGCCAAAACAAATGCTAAACCATGCAAACAGGTAGCACGTCTACGGATGAGTTCGACAGTTCTGCTACGATGATGGTAGTCAATTAGATGAAACAGACCCAGAATCAAGCTAAGCAAAAAACAAATTAACATCTAAAGTACATTAAAAAGGACATTAAGTTAGTGTACTAACATTGCTCGCCCCACCACAGCTCAGTCGATCAGGTTCTGCTTAATACTGACCGTCCTCCTCGCGTATGAGCACCGAGTTCACCAAATTGATCATCAGCTTTCACAGTATCCTCAGACAGGCGAACAGCATCAAGCTTTTGTTTGAGGACTTCTATGGCATTAAGCAACAACTGAGAAGCTTTAATTGCACCAGTAGATTCAACAGTGAAAATGAAACTGTCTTCTTTCGCATGTATCTCAATAAGCCCAGGCTTACCCATAGCTTCGAGTTTCTTTAACACTTCACCATCATATGTATATACTTCTGGATCGACCACTACAACCTGTTCATAAAAGAATTTTAAAAGGGGAAAATATCTAAAGAAGTTGGCTCATAACGTATTGACTGGAATAATGAAATAAAGAAAGTACAGCATCAGATGCTCAACAAAGAGCACAAATATGTTTTTATAGAAATAAAAGAAACTTACTGACAATTTTGACAAACAACTTCGGTAAAACATATTCTTTTTCCGTAGTGTACAACCGCTACAACTTTAATAATACATATCATATTTCTGACTACAGTAAATTCATTAGCCTAGAATTCTAAATAAAATATTTGAATATTTAACTTCATAATGTTCATTAATATCCCCTAGATATAAGGTTTAAACATGCAAGCCATCATGAATATACATAAAATACTTTATGCAATATCATGTTACCAGATACTAGGCAGACAATTCTACAACTGGCAAATTATGAATTTTTTTTTTTCTTTTTTGTTTTAGCAAAACAGATTATGATTTATGAATCAGCCAATATCAATGAGACACACCCACATCCAAACATGTATCTCTCTCTCAAATTGATCCATCCATCTATCAACATCCATAACCATATCAGCAGTCCAAAATCTTTGTACTCAAACATCAGCTCCCTCCATAAGAGAGAGGGAGCAAGGAAGAAACCTCATCACTTCTTCCAAAGCTCAGTGATTAATTCTCTCCAATGAGGATAATTAACTAATCCATTTATAATCAATGTCTATTCGTGCTAAGTGGAAATTTTATGAAGTAAAAACTAACTCTATATATCATCTACTTCAGAAAGTGATCCCTAGGTCTTGATAAGAGTATATAACCAAAAGTCTGCATTCATGACAGGGATGTCAATTTCTACGATTATTAGGCCAGAGGAAAAATCACAGAACTAGGTAAAAATAAAGGACAAAGACTTCAGGAAGTTCAGCCAAATTCAGCTGATTCAAATTTGAATCATTGACTTCAATAATGCAGATTTAATTTTTATTTATTTATTTATTTATTTAAACTAGGTTATTTTCCTAGTTCTACTAGGGTTTTACAAGACCATACATATAAACCAATGTAAGGCCAGTAGCCTCTATAGTTTTTCATTAATAAGATTCAAGAACAACTCAAGAGAATTTTTGCTAGTTTTCTGGTGGATTTAAGAGTCTAAATGTGTCTTAGGCTTGTTATCCTCCTTTCAAACTGCACCAACTCAAAACCTCAAAAGTAATTATCTCACAGTTTTAAAAAATCAAAAGGGACTAGGTAAAGGATTCCAAAGTCAGGAACCACTCTCAACATCCACCACTGCAAAACACCAGCTGCCCAGACCATAGATTAGTTAATATTATGCGAGAATCACTGTTTTATAGCAACTCTAGAGATTTTGCAAGAAAGCATATACCAGATGAACCAAATAAACCAAAAGATAATTGAGGGGAAAGAAGAAGAAGAAGAACAAGAAGAAGAAGAAAAGCAGAAAGGGAAGAGCTGACCTGTTGGGTATTAGGATCAATGTCAAAGACTTTGGTAGGACTACTCTCAACCAAACTTGTTTTCTCTTCAAGTGTCAATGTTTCCATCATATCTTCATTTATATAGATCTCAGGTTCATACATGAAGGTCACAGTTGCAGCAGGTGACCATTTTGCATGGTCTTTCCCAATACCTTTTCTGGCCTCAATTCTTGTCCACGGTGTAACTTAACAATTATTATTCCCCTAAACAAACAGCAAATCAAAACTTAATTAACAGACTTTGCAATAAAATAATGGAAGTTAAATAAATTATTTCCTTTCTCTGATAAAATAATCATAGGAAAAAATAAAAATAAAAAGGGAAGAGAAGGATGGATTGAAATTCAGCACTAAATTTCAATTTTCTAAGGCTTAGAGAATTATAAACCAAACACTTCTAGGAAAGAATGTTCCCTGTTACTTGCTTCTATCTAGTTTTTTAACTTATTAGAACATATCAAAGGTAACAAAGCCAGACATTATCCATATATTCTGCAGGATGTAAAGATATGAACCACAAGAAACCAGTAAATCCCAAGCTCTTTTAACAAATAACAGATACAGTTTAGTTCATATCATACTGGCAAATGCATATATGTCAAAACACACAATTAAATAATGATTATAAAAGAACACAATACACTGTTCCTCAAGAAGAAAAAGCATAAAATCAATTATGATGAAGAGCACTGTCTCGAACTGTTGAACCATAGAAAAGTTCCACAATAATCTAGCAAAAAATCCAATACCACTTTAATTCACAATGTTAACACAGAATCACAAAGAGGCAAAATACACTAAAATCTTAAAATGTCATAGAAACATGCTGCAAGACAGGGGACAAGAATTACAGTAGTGTATAGAAGAGGCAAAAAATTTTCAAACATACAGTACTGCAAACAATCCATACTACAGTGACAATTATAAGCTTTGAAAAATAATAAAAGCTAAAACTTGATTCAAGTATGAAGATCATAATCAGTTGTTTTGTGCTTTTCTTAATTGAAGTTGCTTGTTAAACCGTCACCTAAAAGACCTCTCTAATAATCACAGAAAAAATTGACAAGACTTGCACAGGTCAAACAAAATCTTAATCGACCCCTTAGGAAGCAATGCAAATAACTCTGCTCAGGCGAGTCGTACCCAGCCGACTCCGTGAAATCGACGGGAACCACAGTATGATCCGAACTATACAGATCCTTGCTCGTGACATCAAGCGTCTGATCAGTCATGCATTTGGCCCGCAGATGGAACTCAACAGAGCAGAACTCGCATTGGCCGTCACCGTCGCATGCGTCGCAATCATGCGAGAATCGCATGGACATGGCCCGTTCGCTGGTGAGAGGGATAGGCCGAGACGGTGAGCGATAAACTCGTCGTTGAGAACAGAGGAGTTGACCTCGATTTCGACCAGGTCGATGGCGATGTTCGGGACCTCCGCAATCATGACGCGACGCAAGGCATTGGCCATGGAGGAGTCAGTGTCCCGCAGCTCAAACTTGAGGTAATCGTCTTTCATCTCCCGGATTTTGATCTTCGGGAATCGCTGGTACGATGCTCCTTCCATTTTCGATTTGTCTTTCACAAAGTAGGGTTTTTGGAGGAAACAAAGCGAAAAGCTCAGTGAGGAAAGAGATTTGTCCGAGTGGGGTTTTGGTTCACCCTATCGTAGCATGAAAACGGTGTCGTCTATTTCTTTAGCACTATTATTTTTTAAGTTTTCCTAGCATATACTAAGAATTTTTTTTATTATAAATATATATAATATAAAAATTAAT